GCACAGTGTGCCGGTCTGCCAGTGTGGCACCGCTCCCGATCCGGCGGGCCGGTGTCGTCGGACCTGGTTACCCAAACCAACTCGAGATAATCAGTCTCATCAAATTAATTCAAATTCAAATTAAGTCCGCTCTAAAAAATTAAAAGCGAGAGCGAATTTGTGTATACGAGAGCGCGGGGACGGCACCCCATCCCACCCCCATTCTTCAGCAGCCACTGACCCTGGGGGACAGGCTCCCCTCCCTTCCCCCTCCCCTCACCCCGCTCGGTACGTCGCGAATCCAGCACCCCGTCTTTGCGTGCAGGATTTCGTCGGTCTGGAAAACGCTGACAAAAACAAAAGCCGAAGCGGCGTTTTGCCGTCGTCGTCCTTCCCCCTCCCCCCACCCCGCCGGTCGTCCTGCCGCCTGCCTATTATTGCGTCGTCTGAGCGGCCGGGCTATTAGGCCTGTCGTGGCGTGGCAGTGTGGCGGCACTGGCAGCGGGTGGCGCGCCGTGCGCCGTGGCGGGGCAGACACTGCGAGAGAGCACTGCGCAGCACTGCGCCACCAGTTCGCTACCGGCGCAAAAATGGTGGCCCACTTGTCTCTTATCTGAGTTCCGCTGCCCCGCTGTTCCGCCCCACCCCCTGGTCCTTCCCCGCCACTGTCCATGGCGCTGCATGGCACACTGCGGGGGCTGCATGCACGGCGCCGCCGTCACGTGCAGTTGACCCCACCCCCACGCGCCCCCCACCCCCCAGGCTGATTCCGAAGGGCGCTCCGTCTCCGTCGCACCCCCACTGGCCGACGGCCCGCCGCTCGGGTGCGAGAGAGACGCGGCGAAGAAAATTCGGTATCAGCCCGCAGCCAGCCAGCCACTTCCCGCGACGATTTGCATGTGACGGTGGGTCGAATGTGACCGGACTGCCTGCACCCCAGACCTCTCTCTCTCTCTCTCTCTCCCTCTCGTGAATGTGGGCGACGCAATTTTGACAGCGCCCGCTGCATTCTGGTGGGAGAGGGAGAGGAGCCTGCCGCTCTCCGTCGAGGGTCGAGGGTCGCACACCCCGCGGAGCGAGCTCTGGGTTTCGACCTTGACCCGGGCCGGGTCGGGCCGGGCCGGGCGGCGAGCCTGGGCCCTCTCGGCCCGCTCGGCTGACGTGGCCCCGGCTCTTGCTGGATGGCTAACGACGCCGAGACAAGGAGACAACCAATGTCGTGCTCGGCGCGAATGATCCCTCGCGACAGCGCGTCGCTCTCTCCAGGTGGCGGTGGGTTCGCGTCCCGCCGAGGGAGGCGGTCTGTTTCTTCTTTTTTCTCTCGGCATCGCGGCAGGGCGAGGCAGGGCAAAGGGGTAGCGCGCCGCGCCGCCGCCTTTTGCAGTGGCGTTTCAATCGCGGCCATTTCTGCGAGGCCAGCCGAGCCGTTCCGAAGGGCCGCTCTGTCTCTCTCGCACTCGCAACGAAACGCCCCGCGAGTGCGTCAAAGAGGGAGAGAGAAGAAAGCAGCTTTCGGAACCGGTCCGCCGGCGAGCCCGGCCACGATGAAAGGGAAAGCCTGGGGAAAAGCGGCGATGGAAACGGAGGAACGGCCGTTCCGATAACCTTGCCGAAACAACACTCAACAACACGGGGCAGGCCGCGAGCACCGCGAGCACCGCGAGGCCCGCCGGGGCAGTGCTGCCACACTGGCAGACAAATACTCCCACGATGCAGCAGAGTGTCGGAGGGTTGCCAACCTCAGCCCGCTAGCCAACGTATCGAAAGAGGCGCCCAGATATTTGCCTAGAGGGCATGGGGCCACCCTTTCGACACTGGTGCATTTTGGGAATTTTTTCCCTCTTCACGTGACTGCTGGGGCGCCGCGTTGGGATTGGTGTGGCTCGGCCTCTCCCCTCCCCCCTCCCACAGCAGCCCCATTTCGCCGCCTCCAACTTGGTCTGTTATAGAGGGCCTATCTATGACAGGCAACGTGCCGCCAGCCCCGCCAGCCCCGCCAGCCCCGCCAGCCCCGCCAGCCCCGCCAGCCCCGTGAGGGGACCCAGGCCCCACTGCTGGCTCTAACTCGCCCTCACTCACTCCAACTCATCCAGCTGTGTGCGCTACGGCTAAGTGGTCCGCAGCTGGCGTCGGGCTGCTGCCGCTGCTGCCGCTGCCGCGCGCTTCGAGGCTTCGACGTGCATTTTACAGCAGTGTCCCCTCTCTGGGGCCCCGACCCCGGCCTTGGGGCTCAGCAGGCAGACTCCGAGAAGGTCCCTCTGTCTCCCTCGCGCCTGCGAAGCGTCCCGTCAGGGTGCGAGAGAGACGGAGCGACGCGGCACTGTTCGGACTGCAGCGCGTCTCTGCCCCCCAGCGGCGCTCTGGGCGTCCGGCCCCGCGGGTACCAGGCCTGCGTGCGACGCGGTGCGACGCGGTACGCGCTGCTTGCTAATTCACACACTTGTTTACGGCAGCCTTCCAGAAGTCGAGGGGTTGGGGGGGGGGGCATATCTGCGTCGCACACCGCCTATCGGGAGTCACCATCTTGAGCGGCGTTGGCTCAGGTCAGGGACGGAGGGCGGGTCGGCGCAAGGGTCGGCGGCGAGGCGGGGCTGGCGAGCCAAGGGCTGCGGCCAGCAGGGCCTGTGGGCACGACGGGCACGACCCCAGCGGCGTGCGTGTTGTCGTGTCGTGGTGTCAGGGGGAGGGGGAGGTGATCGAACCGACGGCGAGGGTTGTTTGGGGGTAGGCAGGACTGCGGGGGCAGCTCGCAGGACAAGGAGTGTTGGGTCTTGGAGGGGGTGGGGTGGTTGGCGTCGAGCCGCCGTCACGCACGCTTTTAACTTCGGGAACGCAATCCCGCTGTTAATCACATAAACGCTCCAACACAACTAGCGCCCCGGCCACGACCCCCTCCCCCCTCTCCCACACACACATACACACACAAACAAACACACACACACACACACACACACACACACACGTCACGCGCTTTGATTCACCGCGTGTCACTGCGCTGCTAAAGCGACCCCCCGGCGCGCCCCCCGGCAAAGGACGGAAAAGTCGACTGTGGGGCGCTGGCTTTTTCTCGTCGGCTCAGTGTCAGACAAGCGTCGACTTTGAAGCGACGCGATACAGACGGACGGACGGACAGACAGAAAGACAGACAGACAGACAGACAGACAGACAGACAGACCTCACAGACAGACAGACTGCGCGGCTCGTAAAAAAGTGGAGCGTTGCGCGCCGCACTGCACCCCAGGTGCGTCAAGGGGAGTGAAGGCGACACACCGATAAAACACAAGTGTAAGCCGAGACCCGGCAGGCAAGGCGGCACGGCAGGGGGAGGAAGCCCTTCGAGGACGACAACGCCGTCGAGGCGCCGCTGCCTCTGTCTCTGTCTCGCGGTGCAGTAAACGACATTGTCGCGGGCCTCGGCGCCTCGGCGGCGCCATAACGCCGTCTTTGCCGCGGCCCTTTGCGTGCAGTGGAGGCGCGTCGCCGTCTGTCTCTCTCGCGCCCACGCGGCGCGCGGGACGGCCACGAGTGCGAGAGAGACAGACGGCGACGCGGAAACGCTCTGCAGTGCCAGTGCAGGTGAAGGCCGGGGAGGGATTATTCGTTTGCGAGAGAGGATAAGGATAACCGGTTCTCGGAATGTGGCTACAGTGCCGCGACGGCCGCGACGGGGGGAGGGAAGGAGGACCACCCTCGCCCTTGGGCAAACACGCGAAAGAAAGAGTGGGACAGACGACGCGGTACACAGTGTACGGTATTTTGTGTGCGGTGATCCCGCGGCGGGCCGCGCTATGCCAACCTGTTGCTCTAGGTAAAAGGCTTACGCCTCTCGCCCGCCTTCGCCGCCTCCTATTGCCAATAACCGCGCGTCGCTACGGGTCGCTACGGCGCCACCACGCCGAGGCGGCAAGGCGGTGGCCTGATGGCCCCACGCCCCGGCCAGGCCGCGCGAATATTGCCGCCCGTTCGAACGCACGCCCCGCCGTGGCGTGCCGTGGCGTGCCGCGCCCCGGTGCGTTTCATTATTAAGTTTTCATCCGTTTTCGCGTGGCCAAGTTGGACACCCTGCTGACGTCAGAGCGCCCCAGGTCGCCTCCAGTCCCAGGCCGGGCACGGCTGGCAACCCCCGAAGGGTTGAGACAAAGTTTTACTGGCCGGTTTACCACACCACCTGGCAAGTTTTAGGCCCGGCCGTGGCGAGCCGCGCCGGTACGGCCAGGCCGAGCCGAGCCGAGCAGGTGCACTGCAAGCGCCTTGCAACCGGAAGCACCGGAAGGGGAGGGCGACGCTGTAAAACCGAAGCCGGACTTGCCAAGTTTTTTATCGCGTTTCCCTAGTCCGCTCGCCGCTCGCTCCGACGCTCCGGTGGCTCGGTGCGCGCAAGGTGCGACGGCGCCACAGCCCCAGGCAGCCCTCGGCGCAGCCATGGCGAAGCCTAAGCCCCTCCGGCCCCATCCCATCCCCCCCCCCTCGCCCTCTTCGCAGTGCATTTTCACAATAAGTCGCCGTCACCGCTCGGCGCTGGTAGGCACTGGTCTGGTAGGCACTGGTGCGGCTTCGGCTTGGCTGCCTTGTTCCATTTCCAGGGGGCTCTCCTCCGCCCCGCCCCGCCCAGCTGGCATTCAGTCAGCGAAAGCAACATTCGAAATGTTTTATTCTGATGCATAAGCAAAGAGGATATCTGGTTTCCCCCGCGCGCGCGCGCGCCGCGGCTCAGCGTGGATCCTACGCCGCGTCCCGGGGCCCGGGGCCGGGGCCCGACAACCCCCACCCCCTTCTGTCCAAGCCCGCCTACACCGACACCGTGACCGACGCGGAACGCCTGTCATTTGTTTGGTTAGTGGCGAGCACTGGGAACGGCAAATGGCAGCGCCAACGCCAACAGCCTAACTTGTTGAGCTGTTCCGTGCTTCAAACACCGTTTTGTTTCAGTTTTTTTTTTCAGTTGGCTCGCATGACGTGCGGGCTATGGTTGACGTCGACCGCTCGCCTTGTCACTCACAGTGTGGCGCCGCTTGTTCCAGGTTACTACAAGGAGCTGCCTCCGCCCGAGGACTGCCGTCGCCTGCAGTACCGCCGGCGCAGCCATGAGGAGCAGCGCCGCGTCAAGGAGCACTTCCTGGAGATCTGGTGAGCCGATAGACGATAGGCCCGCCAAATGAACGGGGCGGGGCGGGCCTCGGAACGCCCCGGAACGCCTCGGAACGCCCCGGAACGCCTCGGAACGCCTCGGAACGCCCCGGAACGCCCCGCCTCCGCGGTGAAATACCACCGCGCGCGGTTTTACGACGCAGCATAAACGAAATGCCGCCGCGACTTCACCTTCTTCGTCCCGTCCTCCCCGGCGCCGCCGTCCCGTCTCCACCTGAGTCTTCAACTCCCCTCTGACAAGTACGCAGCGGGCGGGGCGGGGCGGGGCGGGGCGCGAGCTCACTGTAGCGGCGGCGAAGAGAAAACGTCACCGTCGTCTGCGCCGTGTGTATTTCCGCCGAGCTCGTTCCCCGCGCCTCCGCTCCAGATCCCTCTGGTGGGCCGATTGGCTGCAGTCTTCTGTCTGTCTGTCTGTCTCTCTGTCTCTCCCCCCCCCCCCAAACCACGGGCCGAACCCAGGCTTTAGGCTCGTTTGGGACCAACCCTGAGAAGCTCTACGTTTCGCAAACGTGCCCCCACGCAAACACATGGCAGGCCCCAGTGTGCTTACAGTGGACCGCCCCGCGAACTGCCGACGAAACGAAGAATCCTCTCGCGGAGGCATCGCGTGTGCGTTCGATTCACGTCCTATTTGAGGACTGGAAAGACTGGGGAGCTCAAACTTTGTCCCGAGTTTCGTCCACCCGGGGAGCGATTCCGCACGTCGCTGCCGTCGTCGCTCTGTCTCTCTCGCACTCATGGGGCGTCCCATACGGGTGCGAGAGAGACAGAGCGACGAGAAGATGAGCTCTGCGCGAGGCGCCTGCGAGGCGGCGAGGCGGCCGCTCGCGGACGGCGCTGCGCGATGGGTTGCCTACCTCGCCGATCACAGGCGCTTGGTCGCCCCGCTGCGCGCAGCAGGCACTCTGTCTCTCTCGCACTCCATGTGGCGTCCCGTTGTGGGTGCGAGAGAGACAGAGTGGTGCTCGGCACCAGTCCGCTGGGCTGCTGCTGCGAAAGCTGTTTCCGACTCCCCCCACCCCTCCACCTTAATCACGAAAATGCAGCCGCAGCTCTGCGGTGCCGGTGGTGCAGTGCAGTGCCGCCACATAATTTGGCAAACATTAAATTCCCTCGGTGCACTGGTATCGAAAGGGTTGCCACCCTCAGCCGTACTTTGCAGCTGGTCGAGAACAAGCCAAGTGCCTGTAGGTAGCCTAGGCTGAGGTTGGCAACCCTTTCGACACGACACTACTAGTACAGTGTCAGAACTCGGAACCGTCGCTTCTGTCCCGGCAGTGCCAAGAATCGACGCGGTCGCAACGAACAGTGTAGTGGGCGCGCAGACGCGCAGTGCACACGGCGGGTATGTTTCCTCAACTGAGCGTTGCCGGCGTTGCCTTCGGGCGTCGTGCTTGTCGCTCTGCTTGTCCGCGCTCGGCTCATTTCGGTTCGGAGTGGGGCTCGGCCTTCTCGGCCTGCTCCGCCGCGGCGGGGGCGGCGGCAGCGGCGGCAACGTGTTTGCGGGAGGAGGTGAGGCATTTCTCAACAACCGCGTCGTGCTCAACGGGGTACTTGCCGGGGTGGCGTCCGCGGCGTCCGCGGCGCGCAAAGACGTCCCCGGCCCCGCCAGTCCCATTCCCATTTGTTTTTATTTCATTTCCTCCTCCGGCCCGCGCCGCGCCGCTCCGGCCCGCGCCGCGCGCTCTGCACAAGTTAAGTTTGAAACAATTTTTGCCGCGCTGCGGACAAAGCGCGCGGCGCGAGATTGAAACGGCCGCCGCGTCGCGCACTGTCCAGCGAGACAAATGTCACGCTCTTACGGTGTGCGGCACGACCGCGCGGCCGTCGCGTGTGGCGTGCGCGGTGTTTGCCCCCGCGCGTGCGGCACGGCAAGGCACGCCAAGCCAAGGCACGGCACGCGCGTGTCGTGTGCCGTTATCACCGTGCGACACGTGGTGACGTCACGCCGTCGTCATGGCGACGCGGGCGACGCGGCACGGCGACGCGGCACGGGGGCGCGGCACCCTAATGTGTGTCCGCGACGGCGCGACGTCCTCGCCACGGCGCCCCGCCTCGCCCGCCTCGCCCGCCGCACTGCCAACAGCGAGGGGGCAAAAACTCGCGCAATCATGTGTACACGGCCCCCGAAATCACACGCGAATCATTGAGAATCACGCGAAATCAAGCAATCCGAAATCAGCCAAAATCACTAAAATCGACCGAAATTAGGCAGAATCACACGAAACCAGGCCAAATCAGTCCGAAATCATTTCTTTCCGAACACAATCACACGCAATCACGCTCAACATCACCCTGGTGCGTCGCGAAATAAGGCAAAATCAGCCATGAAATCAATTAAAACCATGCGCAATCATTGCGTTTTCCGAATCATGTGTACACGAAAATCCCGAGTTTTTGCCCCCTCGGCCAACAGCCCTCCGTCTCTCTCGCACCCCGGCGCACACGCCCCACGAGTGTGAGTGTGAGAGCGACGGAGCGGAATGGGCCTGCAGGGCTCCTGGCAATGGATGGCGCATTAATGACCGACACGGATCAAGGAATTATTATTTTAAACCCCGGCAGACAAGCGGCCTCGGCCTTGGCGGCCTTGCCGGCCTTGGGGACAACAGTGGAGTGGCGGCCTGGCGGGCAACGCGGCGAACGCAACGCGCTTTAAAATAACAGAAAGGCAATGACGCAGGCCGTGGGGGGTTTTCCCTTTTACGATCTGCAAATAATTAAAAGGCTCCGCGCGGCCCAAGGCTCGCCAAGGCTTGGCAGTGGCGTGGCGGGGCGGCCGGGCCACTTACTTGGGGATGGGAAGCAAGGGTTTGTCTTGCGATTCGCCCGATGAGGCTCCCACCGCTCGGCAGGCCAATTTCACTGGGCAAGCGTTTGCAGTCCGGGCCCCGCTTGGCTCAGGATGGGCCGTCCGGGAGGCTCCACAGCAGGCTGATGCCTCATCGTCGCTCTGTCTCTCTCGCTCGCCATGCGAGGCGCACCGCGACCTCTCTCACACTCACGGTGCGCCTCGTATGGGTGCGAGAGAGACAGAGCGGCCAAAGCCCCTGCGTCGTCATCCCGTCCCCGTTACTAGGAACTAGGAACCTGCGGCGGCAATGTCCACGGGCCCGGCCGGCCCGGCCCGGCCTCGACACCCATTGACGCGCTGGGGCGGGGCGCGGCGGGGCTCCTCAGGGACCATTATGGGGTGATGGGTGTGCTAAAGTGGGTCACCGTGGGGGCGCAGGGACGCAGCCCAGCTCCAGAGGGCCCTCAATTCAGTGTCAGCTTCCCTGCTTGACTGGGCCAATTTAAGGGCTCATTTTCGGCCTATTTATCGCGGGATTGGCCCTTAATGGACGCGCCTGCTGGCGCTCCTCGGCCCTGCGCCCCTCCTGCTGGCCGCGGCCTCGGCCGGCCTGGCCCCCGGCTAAGCCGCCCGCCCGCCCCGCCCCGCCCCGCCCCGCCCCGCCAGGTGGTGTCCACCCTCCACTCGCCTCGCTCGCTTTCTTTCATTACCGCCACAGCATTTATTTGGACATCGTTCCGGCGCCCTTCGTTCCTGGCTGGAGCGGCTGGAGCCAGGCTGGAGCCCCACTCCAGCCTGCAGGGCGGGCAGGGCGGGACGTCGCGCACACAGGAAGGAGCAGGAAATAATTCTCGCTGGGATCTCGGCCGGGGAAAAACGAGGAAACCAACTCGTCGTATTTTCAGACCAACGACGACGGCGGGGCGGGGAGGCGGGGCTGCACGAGGCTGCTCTTCATTACAAGCACGGGGCGCCACGGGACGCCACAGGGTGCGCGACGGACGGGGGAAAGCGCTGTAACGCGTCACTCCGCGGAAAGCCGACCACATCCATTCCAGACGCCTTCGTCCGTTATATCGGCGAGTTGTCTCTGTATCCAAGATCACGACCTTGAGGACGCGCGAAGTGGCCGGCTGGGCCGTCCCCATGTGCTGGACGCCTTGCTGCTGGAAACCGAAGCCGCGGTCGCACACTCACACTCACACACACACTCACACACGCACACACACACACACACACACACACACACGGCGATGATCCGAGGTATTGTGCCGGCCAGCCATTGTGCGGCTTTTATGCCAGTGCAATAAACCGATATGAGCGAAAGGCGCTCTTTGAATAACGCTCGCACGGCGCAGCGCGTCAGGCACACTGCAGCGCAGCGCACGGCCGGACCGGTATGGAGCGCTTTACGTCGCGAAGCGAAGCGCCACTCCGCGGACGATATTGCGGCGGAGGCCTGCAAGATGATTCTCATCGGGGAGGTCTCTCTCCCTCCCTCCCTCCCTCTCTCTCTCTCTCTCTCTCTCTCTCTCTCTCTCTCTCTCTCTCTCTCTCTCTCTCTCTCTCTCCGGAAATGGTCGGCCGGACGCCGCGACCGCTTCTCCTGGTTGCGCGCCTTCGTTATCTCAACACGGGCCGATAGCGAGGCTGCACACCGATTCCGGGGGTCGCCCGTTCTCGTCGCGCTGTCTCTCTCGCACCTGTACGGGACGGCCCAAGCGTGCGAGAGAGACAGAGCGCCGCTCGGAATCAGTCTGCAGAGAGCCAGGCAGGGGGGTCGAGCAAGCGCCGGATGCGCGCGGACACTGGCGGGGCTGGTAACCAATGGTAACGAGGTGCAGTGCACTGCTTTCCTCGTTGAGGTGAATTAAACCGGAAACACGACGCACCACGCCACTGGCAGGGACGTGCTTCAGCGAGCAGAAACACGGCCGCTAGTTGCGCGCTGCGCTGGGGGTGCGCGTTTTCCTCTTAGGTCACCGCCACTAAAGCATAGTGCTTCTCCTTGCCGCAGCGATGTGCCGCCCTCCGAGGAGATCAAGGACGCCCTCAAGACGGCCCTGTTCGACTGCTCGCCGCTGTCGGACTCGGACATCCTGGCGCTGCTGGAGTGGATGTACCACGACTTCGGGCTGCCCGAGAAGTTCCACATCGACGCGAGGACCATCCGCGCCTTCCTCTACGAGGTCTACAAGAACTACAACGAGGTGCCGTTCCACAACTTCCGCCACGGCTTCTGCGTCACACAGATGGTGCGTAATGTGTGCGAGTGTGGGAGAGAGTGCGTCCCTGACAACGAGCCTCACGGATTTTAGAGGGCAATTCGGATTTTAGGGGTCAATTTGGCGGGTTCAGTACAACCTTGGTGCAGTAGTTCTCCTCCCTTCCCCCACCCCCCGGGCCCGGTTGTTCGCCGGTTATGACTGCGACCACTGCTTCCATAACTTGCGATCTCCCTTCCAAATTACGCAAGCACCGCCCTATTTGTTTGCCGGCTGTTTGTTGTTTTTGCTTTTATGACGCCACCGCCCCTCTAACGCCCGTCTTTCTTGATACTTCCCCAAGTTTTTGCATCAATTCTGCAATGGATGAAATCGACGTTTCTCAGCAAAAGAGGCCTCTCTGTGGTAAATAAGGCAGACCTCTTTTACAAGGAGGCGTTGAAATGAACGAATGATTTTATTTTTGTTTCTCTCCAGATGTATGCCATGGCGTGCTGCGTGGATGTGCCCGCCAAAGTGGGCGACCTGGAGACGCTGATTCTCATCACGTCGTGCATCTGCCACGACCTGGACCACCCGGGCTACAACAACATCTACCAGGTGGGTAGGCGGGCGGCAAGCGCGGTGGCGCGGTGGCCGCGATACCCCGGCCGGCCGGCCTCGCTTTTCGGCGCGCGGGGTATCGCCGCGGCGGCTCGTTTCGCGGAGAGGCGAGAAGGGCGACGGCATGCTGCTGCCACTGCTGCTGTCCGCCTCGCGCAAAGTGGCTCGAGATTGGAAAAAGTAAAATTACGAAAATGCGGCGCGGCGGCGTGGAAAGGGCCGTGAGGTCGCCCAATGTCACGAAGAATGGAAAGGCATGGCGGGGGAAAGAGGAGCCTTTTCTCGACTAACTTGTTGTCATAATGCCACCTTGGCTGCAGATCAACGCGCGGACGGAGCTGGCGCTCCGCTACAACGACATCTCCCCCCTGGAGAACCACCACTGCTCCGTGGCCTTCCGCATCCTGGAGCTGCAGGAGTGCAACATCCTGGCCTCGCTGCCGGCGCACGTCTTCCGGACCGTCCGCGAGGGCATCATCCGCTGCATCCTGGCCACGGACATGGCGCGCCACAACGAGATCCTGGCCCAGTTCAAGGACATCACGCCCGAGTTCGACTTCGGCAACAAGTCGCACACGGACCTGGTAAGGGAGGACATCGCAAGGGCCGTTCCATTTTCCCCACTTTTGCGAGTGTCATCGGGGCACGGCGGGGCGCCTGCTTGTGGGGCACTGGGTCAGGCGGCGTGACGTCATCCGGCTGGAGCCACTCCACTCAAAGTCGGAGGGCAGGCGCGAGTCGATGGTACAACGATGCCGGCGGTGCTGTGCCGGGGCGGTGCCGGTCCACACGGTCGATTAGAAGCTGAAGCCCTTCTGGATGTCGAGCCGGGGCCATGGCGCGCCACTCGGCCGCCAGCCCTTTTGAACTCGCCAGCCGCTAATTGGACGTGCTTTTAACAAGAGGGCCACCGCGATAGAGTGGGAGGGGGAGGGCAAGCCGGGCCGCCAAGTTTTTAAAGACGTGTCCGTTTGAAGCGAGGGCTGCTCTGCCGTTCCCTCCCAACTTCCGCACAGCCGGCCCAAAGTCTGCCCCTCAGCGGCAGTGTGTCCGGGACACGGCACTTGAAGAAACGCCGCCGCCTGAGTCGGAAACTTAACCCCTTCGTCTTGTTGCAGCTGAGCATGGTGCTGATCAAGGTGGCCGACATCTCCAACGAGGCGAGGCCCATGCACGTGGCAGAGCCCTGGCTCGACAGATTACTACAGGTACGTCCGAAATCCTGTCACAAGCATGCCTTTGGCTCACAGTGTCTGGAGAAACAGTTTGGATGACTCTCTTTCCTGCGCAGGAGTTCTTCAAGCAGAGTGACGCGGAGAAGATGGAGGGCTTGCCGGTGACGCCCTTCATGGACCCCAACAAGATCACCAAGCCGTCGTCGCAGTGTTCCTTCATCGGCTTCGTGCTGCTGCCCTTGTTCGAGGCGTTGGGCGCTCTTCTGCCGCAGCTGCATGTAAGTCGCCGAACCGTCTTTGCAATCTCAAACAAAATCTTCGAAAAAAAAAGAGGATTTCTCACATAATAAAAGCAACAAAGAAGCTAAAAAAAGACTAAAATGTGATTATTATTTTTTTTGCAGGACATGATCGTGCAGCCCGTGCGGGAGGCCCTGGAGTACTACCGCCGCCTCAACGAACAGTGCCGCGAGGAGCGCATCCACCGCAAGTCCATCGTGGACCTGGGCGACCTGACCCCCGCGCACCTCGCGCAGGCCGCGGCGCACGGGCAGGACACGCAGGCCCTGGTCAAGTCCGGCTCCGGCTACTCCGTCAAGTCCAGGAAGTCCTTCCAGGTGCGTCGTCGTCTTTTTAGCAGAAAAAGTTTTTATTTTTCCTGGTGGTTTTATGCGGCAGAATGAAAGCGTACAAAGCCGCTGTCTGCACCTATGGCACCTCGTGTGCACAGGTGCAGTGGAAGACAACGTTGCAACTACTATGCAAATTCGTCATGTTTTTGTTTCCTTTCACAGACCGTCCGCTCGAGATCGCGCTCCGCCGAAGATGAGGCGTTGGAACGGCCGCAGGACGTGCCGAACACCGAGGACGCCGTCATGGAGAAAGTCCGCGAGCAGGACGAGGAGGACGTCGAGGCTGACCCTGCCGGGCACGACGACGACGCCGCGGCCGACGAGGTTGGCGACGAAGAGGAAGAGGACGTGGATGAGGAGGAGGAAGAAGAAGAGGAGACGGCCACAGAGGTGGAGGTGAGCGAAAAGACGCTCAAGTTCAAGATCTCGACGGAGAGCGGCCGGAAGAGCTACCCGGGCAGCAGGAAGGGCAGCCGCGACAAGAGCGCCCTGAGCGGCGACCTGGCGCACCAGGAGCTGGCGCGGGCCGTGCGCGACCTGCACCACCACCAGCACCACCACTACCACCACGGCTCTGCCGCGCCCACGCCGCCCACGCGCAGCTCCCTGGCCACGTCGCCGCAGTCCGGCCGCTCCACCGAGTTCAGCCGCTGCAACGGCGACAAGGACACCAAGTGCCTGTCGTTCGAGGACGACACGCTGTCGCGGTCTTCGCACAGCCCGTGCAGCGGCGAGGGCAGCAAGCGGGGCAGCACGGCGGGCCGCGGGGCGCGCTCGCCGCAGCCTCCCAGGGACACGTCTCCCCTCGGCAGCCCGGTGGCGCCACCCTCGGACACCCGCGCCACCAGCGCCGCCGGGACGCAGTCAGCCGACGCCAGGGCGTCATCGTCACCGAAGCTCCGGTCACCGACGTCGTTCCTAAAGAAGCTCAAGAACCTGACGGACAGGCTTTCCTTCAGCGTGAGCAGCGACAGCAGCAGCCGGGAGGCCACGTCCGCGACGGCGTCCGCGGGGGCGTCGCCGTGCCACGGCGCCAACAGCCCCACCGCCAGCGTGTGCCCCGGCGCAGCCACTTGCCCCGCCTCGCCTATGCTGCACCAGGCCGACGGCACCAGGGCGCGGCACGGCAGCGACGCAGTGGACTCGCTGGAGATGCGCGCCACCTTGCCGAAGACCCGGGGCCCGCGGGGGTGGCGGTCGCTGCTCGGCGCCGAGCCCAACCCACCGGAGCGGCGGCGCCAGGCGTCCGTCAACGCGTCCCCCGAGGCCGACGACGGCCTGGACCTGGCCGCGGCCGCAGTCGCCGAGGGCGAGCCCACCGGGAACAACAACAATCGCAAGAAGACCGGCAACCTGTGGAGCCCCGGCAGCCGGCGGGGCGGCGGCCTGCTCAACAGACTCAAGCAGTCCGGGGACAGTATTCACAGCGCGGGCGGCGCGGACGCGGACGCGGCGGGCGGTGCTGACGGAGCTCAGGGCCCTCACGGCTCCGAAGGCGGAGCAAGCGGAGCAGGCCGTCAGCCCGGCCTAATGGCGTCCCTGGCCGCGTCCTTCCGGCCCAAGAAGCCGCCGCCCGGGCCGTCCGGGCCGTCCGGGCCGTCGGGGCTGCCTCCCGCGCCTACGCCGGCCCCGCAGTAGCGGACTGCCTTCGGAATCTCACGACGAGGCCTTCGACCAGGGCCAACAGACGCCAGCGCCGTCCTCTCTGGTTCGCACTCGACCGGGCCACTAAAAGAGGCGCCCCGATATGACCGCTATCAAACTTGGAATTGGTTGCCGTCGCCTTAATCGAAATTAGATTTTCTAGATTGTCGTGCCAAAAGACGCCTGAGCATGGACGTCGCACTAACATTGACGTTCAGGGACAGCCCTGGCCGTTCTTGGAAGCGCTAATTCTTCTTGCCTGAAATCTCATTATTCAGCATAGGCAGAGGTCCCTCAACTACTGTACTCCGTCTAAATTCACGAGCTTTGCGAACGGACTTTCACCTTTACCCAATCGCCGGGAGCGTGATTGCCGAATTGGAATTCGGCTGTTGATTGCTTTTAGCAGGTGTGGATGAGCGCTCTTTTGTTGCAATGACGAATGGAACAAATAGGGACTTTGTTTTCGATGCTTGTGAAAGCTGCATGTGCTTTGCCTTCCAATTTTAAAATAGTGATAACGTGTTGAAATGGACGGTCATTTTATTTGCGGAACTTGCGAAATGCCTCTGTGCAAAGGTACTACTTTATCTTATTATTAGACGTCGCAAACGAGCGATGAATTTTGTGTATGAATGATTGCCTTTTCGTCTATTGTGATAATATCTTCATGTACATACCTTCATAGTGCAACCTGTAAGAAGAGGATTTGCCCCTCCTAGAGGTACTTTCACAGAACTTTCATTAATATCTTTGTTGCCATAATTTGTGTGAGTACAATCCAAAGCATTTATTGTGTTGTTTTCTAACTGCCTACTTCGGCATAAGGACTACATCTCTTCTATTTTTCCACTAAACCTACCATAATAATAATACCTTAGGAGATTCGCAATCACTATCTTCTATTCCGAACCTAGTTTTAGCCTTAAGATGGTGGTTGGCACCAAGATAAAAAAGGATCACAAAAAAGTCAGTTTCTTATGTTGTTGTTTTCTTTATTTCGTCGTGATACTGTAAGCTAACGTCGTTGCCCACATTTCAGACAAGGAACCAGAGACATCTCTGATTCAAGCAGTAGACCTCTTTTACATATCTGATTACCAAATGTAATTTTGATGATTCGTTTTTTAACCAGAGACGCATTTAACTGTTAGGTTCGATGATTTAAGCGCGGGTCGTGTTCTGTCATTGGAGTCAAAAAATTGTCAACTTTTATAGGTGTAATATTTTACAGGCGTGACTGTTTATTGTTATTATTATTATTATTATTATTATTATTATTATTATTATTATTATTATTATTATTATTATTATTATTATTATTATTATTATTATTTTGTATTACTATTGTTACACAAGGTGTAGAATAGTACTCTGCATAGTTTTTAATGTCACTTTCACTAAATGTATTGTCCCTGGACCACAACAACTTAGCAAGACGCTTACCGATTGTCGGTATCTCTATGGTATCTCCAACCTGACTGTAACGTTTCGAGTGTTTACTTCAAGAAAAGTGCCTTCTACGAAAGCAAACTCGAATTTCTTGCTTCGTTTCTCGAGTTCTATGACGTGCACCATCATTACATTTGAAATTGGCACACTCTGGAAGTTCAGTTTTATCCAACCTGAGTCAATACTGGGTCAATACTCTAAAGTCCATCGGTTTTGCATAGGAAATGTCTTGCCTTTACTGATTAATAATTAGAGAATTCCCTATCCCTTGAATTAATTTGCGCAGGCGCAAACGAAAAGAAAAAAGACAGTGCCCTATTTCCTGTCTATGTATTAGTGTTATGTTTGTAAATAAATCCGTGACTGCAATGTTCCCTGTAAGGAAGTGTATATTTATCAATTAATTAAGATGAAAGTTTGTTTTTGTTTCTTCAAGGATGATTGGCGTCGCATGTATGGGACTTAATGCGAGTTGTATTGTAATGGAAACCCTTTGAATGTTTTATGTTTTGTTAATAGTTTCAGTTTAAAGACTATAATCACACAGTCATATATGACTAGAGAGATAATGTTATCAGAAAACAGCCTGCTGGGCCTTTGTTTTCACATGTATCGAAGAAGGATGTGATGATCAAGATTAGTCAATTGAACAAATATATGTTGTGAAAATAAAAACGTTAAATTATGATTTTCTACTGTGTTGTTTTTATTTACAACAAACATACCCACGAGTGCACACTATTTATAATAAATACAGAAGACGTCGAACCAGCGGCGTCTCCACATGATGGTGGGCTCCTCCACCCTCTATCCCGCACGGAGCCAACTATACGAACGTTTGACTAGAACACCTTCATTCAGTAAATCAGGCAAGAGCTGGGACGCCATACTCGGCGGCGGGCACTACTACTTTCACGGGGGCGGGAGGCCCGTACACTGGCTCAGGGGCTGGGGGAGGAGGTCCATAGGCGGGCTCGGGAGCCGGGGGCGGCGCAGGTGCAGCGTAGACAGGGGCAGGTGCGGGAGCAGGGGGGCCGTAAGCTGGCTCTGGAGCTGGGGGCGGCGCAGGGGCAGCGTAGAGAGGTTCGGGAGCCGGAGGAGGAGGACCATAGGTCGGCTCGGGGGCCGGGGGCGGCGCAGGAGCAGCATAAACTGGGGCGGGTGCGGGAGCAGGAGGGCCGTAAGCTGGCTCAGGGGCTGGAGGCGGTGCGGGGGCGGCGTAGACTGGAGCAGGGGCGGGGGCAGGGGGGCCGTAGGCGGGCTCGGGTGCCGGCGGTGGTGCCGGGGCGGCGTAGACTGGCTCGGGTGCTGGAGGCGGTGCGGGCGCGGCGTACACAGGGGCGGGTGCAGGGGCGGGTGGAGCGTAGGTAGGCTCAGCGACCGGTGCTGGTGGAGGCGGCGCGTAGACGGGGGCCGGCGCGGGAGCGGGCACCGCGTAGGCGGGCTCTGGGCCAGGAGCCGGCGGTGTGTTGACGGCGGCGGCGGCAGCTGCGGCCGCCGGAGGAGCGTACTGCTGAGGGGCCGCCAGGGCCGAGCTGGCCAGCAGCACGGAGCACAAGATCTGGCAGAGAGAACACAGTTAGGAAACTAAGAGCACCGCGCACTCCATGCAGTGCAACGCCCGTCGAGATGCCACACTCACCGTCCACATGGCCATGTTGTTCGTCGGCTGGAGACAAACAAGCACTGCTGCCAGTTCCAGAAACACCACTGTGTTTTATGGGATGACCGGCCGAACGGCCGCCCCGCGATGTCCCCCTCCACCACCCCACTGGCGGGGCGTTCGCTGGAGCGCGCGGGCGCGGAGGGGCGGGCTACGGGGAGGCAGAAGCACGGCCAGCGACACGGCCTCCCCGACCTTGGCGCGGACGACACCTCACGCTCGCTGACCACAACACTCTCGATGATTCGGTCGGTCACTGCTTCCGGTCTGAGTTCCGTTTGTCACACTTCAGTGTCGTGGAGCATGAAACAGATTGCGTGGAAGGCAACCAGCACGCTGCTTGCCCTATTGATATCATGGCAGTCAAAAATGTCCAGAAATGACGATAATCCATCCCCCCGACACAGGCGATTGGAACTGATGCCTACCTTGGCTCGGAAGTGACGGACCCTTTAAATTTCCAATTGATTTCGAGTTCCCAAAAATATCGTTCCGCTATTGCAAACGAACGGGAGCATGCCGTCGTCCGAGGTTGCCCAACTGCGTGGCCCGGGGGCGCAGCACGCGGGAGGCGGCAGGCCCGCCACTGGCCCGCCACTGGCACGGGGTGTTTTTCCAGCGTACCGCACGCCGCGCACGCCGTGTATGCGTCAGGGCTGCCGACCGCGGCACGGCGGCGCGACGGCCGTCACTTCCGCGACGTGTTTTCGAGTGGTGTGACGCGCTGCGTTGGTGTTGGTGCGTGCACCGCCCCCGGCCCAGCAACGGCAATGCGCCAAGTTCAAGCGGATCAAGCCAATCACAGCCCGGGCAGTGCGCCGCAGGCAGAGCGTCAGCGCCCGAAATAAAGACTGCACCGCGTTTATGTAAAAGTTAAGCAGCCCTCGAGTGCATTCCTCATTCCGAGTGTTTTTTTTATGCCGGGGAGGTATTGAGCGAGCGCTCGCTTTATGATTGGCTCTTCTGGTTCCAGTCGCGTTGCCCGGGGCAACGTGCGCGTGACGGGGCTGCGGTACTGCCGCTGAGTAACGCACAGTGCGGAAACCCCGCCATAAACCAGTTTTTTTGGCAATGTGCTTCATGCCTCTTCCAAAATAAACGTGACAAAAAAAGAACGAAGACCATGTTGGATTTTTCGGTATTTTAAAAAATATATATTCAGAATCTGTTTTATTTTGGACTACCCTTTGAATCGGCGGCAAGCTATTTCGACCCACACTTTAAAAAAAGCCTGCGAAGCAGATGCGTCGTTACGAAGAAAATGAAGATATTGTAGAATTGCTTGGCAGACTTTACAATGACTTCGTTTTCTTCGCAGTACGAAGAGATGCTTCGTGGACTTTTTTTTTTCAGTGGAGGCGGAGCGACTTGGTCACGCGTAGTGGCTGCTGGTGGTGTCACAGAGATTATTGGCTGAAACAGCTGCCATCCTCGAGTGAGATTGAAGGTGGCACTTTGTTATCGCTGCGTTGCTATCACTGCTTCTGGCTGGGCGCAATGATGCAGTACGCGAGCTGGGCGGCGGCCAGCTGCACGCGGTCGCCCTTGCCGTTGAGGCTCTGGGCGGCGCACGCCTGCAGCTTGTCGCGGCTCTCCTTGTTGTACAGGTCCGCGGCGTCGGACACGAGCTTGGCCACCAGGTCGGGGACGTCGGCGAGCTCATTGGCGCCCTTGGCGAGCACCTTGGTCACGCACTTGGCCTTCCTCCAGGCGTCGGACCCTGCGCGACAAAGAAAGAGCATTAGAGGCGCGATTTTCATGGCCGCGGGGCCGAGGGGCGATGTGGCGGGCTTGCTCATACTTACAGGAACCGAGAGAGTGGCTGCCTCGCACGGCGACGCCGTTGTCGGGGATGGCGGGGGCGTCGGTGGCGGGGGCGGGGGCGTCAGTGGCGGGGGCGTCGGTGGCGGGGGCGTCGGTGGCGGGGGCGTCGGTGGCGGGGGCGTCGGTGGGGGCGGCGTCGCAGGCCTTGATGTCATTGATGGTCTCGACGGGGACGGTCTCGAGGATCTGGAGGAGGGCGCCGACCTGGGCGCGGATGTCCTTGGCCTCGGCGATCTGTTTGGCGGCGCAGGTCTCGGTGTCGGCCTTGATCTCATCGAGGACTTGCTTCAGGTCGGTCTGAGAGAGAAGAAACAATGTTTATCTAAGGCTTTAACACACGCCATGCCAGTCGCCGTCGAAACAGCCTTGTATACCTTGAAGGCTGCGTTGCACACCGCGCTCTTCTTCTCCAGGTCCTCCAGCCTGCCCTCGAGGTTCAACTGAATGCCGAACCTCTTGAAGACCAAATCGTCGATCTTCTTGGCGACGGCGACCGAGCTGGCCTGCAGGGCGTCGACAATCACATTCTCGAGCTGGTGGACGCGCTCCTTGATCTTGCGCACGAGCTCCTTGAACTTCTCGATGGCGTTCTCGACGGGGTTGCCGGTCAGGCGTTGGTGGGACAGCAGGGCGATCTGGGTCTTCAGGGACTGGGTGTCGTCACCCTGGGCGGGGATCTGGCAAAACAAGAATGCGTCAAAAACACGGAAACATGAAGCTAAGGCCGAAAACAAGACATTGGGGTTGTCGTCTCACCCTTGCGGCGCAGGCGGCGGTGATGGCCGCTAGGAAGAAGAGGGCACGGATGGGCGTCATGGTGAAGTCTCGCTCGCGTGGCAGGATCCTACTTGAATCGCACAGAACCGGTCGCGCAGCGCCAATTTATGCAAGCTCAGATTTAGCGGGTCGCGCCCCGCCGTGCCGCGCCGTGCCGCCTGATAGTGACAGTGTCCTTAGTCCTGCCGCGCTATCGCCACGCTTCCCGATGCCATCGGTCAAGTGCGGCTGCGGGCCTGCGTCACAGACTCATCCCATTTACGTATTTGCGGTGTTGTCGACAGAAGGGCGGCCGACCCGAAGGCGGGCCTCCTGGCGTGCTAGTCATTGTTCTGCTCTTCGAGACTTAGCCTCCTGCGAAGTGACATGACGAGGGCAAGGCGCGAAGACTTGAACGCGGGAACGCCAGCGTGGTGCGGCTAGCCAACGCCGGCCCGGGGGAGCACGCGCGATGGCGTAGGAGGGGTGGCCCACCCACCAGGCGCCGCGGCCACGCTTGAGCCAGCCTCCACAGTGACGGCCACCACTGCCACCAGCGCGTGTCGTCGGCAGGCTGTGATAGGCAATCCCTTCGTCACCATCGGAAGAATTTGGCGCGCTATCTGCATCGCAACACGAGTATGCTCGGCGTCTACGACTCGTACACCTCACAAACTACAGTGTCGCAACTTCGCACCACCACTCCACGAGGAGAGCTCGCGACCACGCGGGAGTAAATACTCCGACGGAATGAAAACACAAAGTTGAAATATACGCACGACATCAACAGAATCACTAGGTGACATGAGGGCAGCCGCCCTGAGCAAGGTCGGAGTTTCTTTCTAGGGACTCAAGACAGTAGACGATTTGACCACGAAACGACAACTGTTTAAATAGCGAAAACAGGGTATATAACGCGGCACGCCCCGAGGCAAGTCGTGGACGGTCATCCCCAGCCAACATGTCACCCAAGAGCTTGTTCTTCCTCCTCGCTGTCGGCCTCTGCGCCACGCAGGTACCTACTCGTCGTTCCCAACATCATTCAAGTGTTGCAGTTTCTTCATTTTGCTGACGGTTGTTGTCTGTTGTTTGGATGTGCAGATGGTGTCCGCGCACCGCGAGGCGCGCGGCATCGCCGAATTCTTCAACACGGCCAAGAACAAGCTGTCCCAGCTGCTGCACAAGGCCGAGGACCCCATCCTGTCGAGCATCAACACGGTCAAGCAGTACATCAACAACCTGGAGAACAAGCTCCTTGAATCCGGCACCACCGCCCTCAACAAGGCAGGGCTCCAGGTCAACCTCACCGACCTGGCCGACCTTGTCAAGGACACTGCCAAAACCTGCGCGAAGGACGTAAGTACGGACAGCGATGTACTTTCAATGGGGAGTGATGTATCGACCTCACGTTACTCACAAGGGGGGTCATTATCTCACCCCTGGATCTACAAGTGGTTACTAAAGTGTTCCTACTCCATTCAGGAAAAGGTCAAGGCTGGCGCTAAGGTGATCCTCAACGACATGGCTTCCTGCGTCGTCAAGGACGTGACCACCCTGCAAAACCTCATCGAGGAGATGGAGGACCTCTGGGACACCGCCCGGACCATGCCCTCCGCCATCAAGGACGTCGCCAACCGCTGCAAGACTGGTGAAGGTGAGAGCGGGCCAGATGTGTTCATGTTTTCATCTCGCTGCGAGGGCATCGTTCATTTTTCATTTTCTATGAAATTGCATGCATTGCTTCTGCCCAAGCATCATCAATTTGACGCACTTCAAAGTGGATTTGATGGCCTTCTTGTAACTCCGCACAGCTGTCCCCGCGGATCCCCTGCAACTGACCGTCACCCTCGACACCAGCGACCACGAGTTGGCCGAGGCCAGCAACGAGCTGCTGGTGACCGCCAGCAAGCACCTGAGCAAGCGCGCCCTGTTTGACCTGTCCCGCGTGACCAACTGCGTCAAGAACATCTTCGACTTCGCCAAGAACGACCTCGTCAGCATCCCCGGTGACGTCATCACCGCCGCCACCCACGCCTACCAGGTTGTCCAGAGCGTCCAGGGCGGCATCCCCGCCTGCGTCGCCAAGAAGGCCACCGAGAACGTCGACGAGATCACCAAGCTGGGCCTCGAGGTCGGAGCCTGCCTCGCCGCCGGAGTCGCTGACGGAGACCTCTCCACCAACCCCTCCCTGAGGGTCCTGAAGCAGCTCTCCGTCGCGGCCGACGCCCTCAACAGGCTGCAGGACTCCTCCGCTCTGAGCGCCGCTGGTCAGATCACCCAGTACCTTGGTTAGGTTTAGCCACTGGTTGCCACTGTCGCAATTGAAAAATAAACAATGAATCTGGAAAGCCTGCCGTTTGCGTAATTCATTATTTCTCAGCGCCTCGCTGATCCCTCACACGCACTGCTGCCAAACACGCGTCCGCACTGACGCTGCAGGTGTCACCGACCGCCGCACGCTACGCCGCCAGGCCGCCGCGCTGACCCAGCACTTCCAGGCCGTCTTGGTGCCCGGAGTGCTCCGCGGGGTGCCGGCCGGCCGTTCTTGGCCATTCTCAGCTGCTAGGCGCGTGCAGTGACAGTTCTAGACCACAGCCAAAGCAACGCCGGCACGGCCCGCCCGAACATGACACTCGCCAGGCTGGCCGTCGAGTACGCCGTCGTGCTGGCCACCGCCGTAGCCATGGCCGGCTATCAGGTGAGTCGCATCGCACTGGCACAAATTGACTCATTTAAACAGACGCCGGCGAGCGGAGAAGCGATGCCGCGCCGGACGTGCTGCAAGTAACTAACTGATTGCCTCCAAATATTTCTTTTTGAAAAGGATGGCTTGTTTGATTATTTTTCTCACTCTTTTCACATCTGCCGTGTGTTTGCTCCGCCATCGCCAGCAGTTGGATGAATTTGCTCGAGACCGAAAGGTAAAACAGGTCTTGTCTAGTCGAGAGAGTCACGGGCTGCTTGTTGTCGCGCAGGTGCAGTGCGAGTCGGAGCGGGGCTTCCTGGAGCGGGTCCTGGGGCGCGCGGAGCAGAGCCTGCAGGCAGTGTGGGCGCGCGCCCGCGGCGAGGCGGACGGCCTGGTGCAGGGCACGGTGCAGCTCTTCCGACGCAGGGAGCACGACGCCCTGCACGCCGCCTCCCTGCAGCTGGAGCAGCTCGGCGTCGACGTGGACCTCAACGAGGCCGGCGACGACGTCGGCGACGACTTGTACGGCTGCGCGCAGGCCACCAAGGTGCGTAGCACGCGAAGCATGCGGTGTTTACGCCCTGCCGGCGACGCGGCGATACCCCGCGCAGCAGAAGGGCGGTGAGAGGCGCGGGGTATGGCTGGCTCAGCGGCGGAAGGGGTATCGCCGCGAGGGCGACCTCGCTATAGCGAAACCGCACTGTGCTTTCTCTCTCTCTCGCACCTCGACTGAACACACCATGAGTGCGAGAGAGACAGAGTAACCAAACCACTGTTAGGAATCCTGCCAGACTGCGAAAATGTCATTTCTCTCTTTCTCTTCCCTCCAGACAAAGTACACGCGTCTGCTGCAGCAACTGCGTCGACGCGTGGAGCAGTGCTGGGGCTGGGAGAGCCAGGAGGTGTCGGCGCTGTTCAGGGCCGTGGAGGACCTGCTCCTGGCCGGGGACCGCCTCCCCGCCTTGCTGCGCGCCAACATGAACATCTGCCTCCACCAGGGCCGAGGCCGGCGTCGGTCGCGGAGGGCGGACTCTCAAGGTAAGCAAACTGCCGTTCGAAGCACACTCCAGTTTGCCCCTTTGGCTAGTCTTGCTCCAACCGGATTCGTTCCAGGGGCAAACGCCACGTCGAGGACGGCGCCGACGCTGCCGCCGCCCAGTCCGTTCCGCATGCTGCGGTGCACGGCGGACTCGGTGAACCTGACGTGGACGTACGTGACGTCAGTGCCGCGAGAGGTGGGCCGCGCGGCCAGGAAGACGGCCGGCTTGTTGGGCTCTTCGCACGAAGACTGGGCGCCTTGCGCGCAGGCCGTCGTCCGCCAGGCCGCCGGCTCCACCGTGCAGACCCTCCGCGACCTCGGGGGCTGTGTCGTCGACCGAGTGTCGGGGACGTCCTGGCGGCGCTTGCAGGAGGCGTGGGAGCACCCCCGCCGGTAGAGGGTGGACGACGTGGACGACGTGGACGTCGCGAGAGTGCCAAGTTGAAGCCATCACAAAGGGAGACGGTCCGCCACGACCCCCTTACAGTCGCACATACTGTCTTTTCTGTTTCTCACTTCCCTTCGAAGCAATGACAGCTTCAATCGCAAGTTCAGTTCTGGCCATGGAATACTCATTATTTGAAGTGGAATTTGATGTGTACACTTTATTAATCTCGATTTGAATTCAAGTTTGATGTAGATATATCTCAACAGGAAAATGTAATAAAAACTTTTTGAACTAAGAAAATATTTTTATTATTTAAGCCTTAGTTGCCCAACTTGCTGCGGACGCAGCTGACGATCTGAGCGGCGGCTTTGGCGCTCTGGATGGGGTTGCCGGCGACGGCCTTGGCAGCGCAGCCGGTGAGGTCGACCCTGAGGGTGGCGACCAATCTGGTGGCCTGAGTGGCGTAGCTGATGGTGTCCTTGACGAGCAGGGCGCTCTTGACGGCGACGGGGGCGATATTTCTGATCTGGCAAGTCCTCTTCCCTAACGTGCTGGTCGATGAGCGGCAGGTGTTGTAGCCCACGGCTCCGTCCTTGGCGAGGGTGGTGGCGCGGATGGGCACGTTGGCGATGTTCTTGCCGAGGGTGGCGATCTCGGTGACCTTGTCGGCGACGCACGTGATGGACTTGGCGACGGCGCTGTCGCCCGACTCGGCGACGGACGCGGCGGTGCAGTCCTTGACGTCAACGCCGGCTTCCACGGCCTTCTCAAGGATGGCCTTGACGGGGGCCGTCCATCTGTTGCTGGTGGCCTTGCTCACGGCCTCCTCGGCCAACTGGTTCACGGAGTTGATGGTCTCCTCGATCTGGCTCTGGACGCCACTGGCGATGGTTTTGACCTCATCGGCGGCACCGTTGATAGTCTGGAGCAGGTCGTTGGGGGCGAGGTTGTTGGCGGCGGCGGTGAGAGAGTCGACGCTGATGTCAGCGGTGGCAGAGTCGATCAGGGCCTGGGCGCCTCCGGGCAGGCTGTTGCGGATGCTGGAGGCCGTGTCGAGGGCGCCGGACAGGACGCCAGAGGCGCGGTCGGAGGCGGCGCTGGCGACGTTGCTCACGGCGTTGCTCACGGCGCTCCGGGTGCTGCTCACGGCGTTCTGGGCGGTGTTGACGGCGCCGCTGACCAGGTTGCGGAGGCTGCCAAACTGGGCATTGTTGCCCTGCGGACGAAACAGAGGGCGTTAGACCAAGTGGCGGCGTGCGAGGCTGACTGGCCGGGGCGATGGGACTCACCTGGATGAGGCACACGGCCAGGAGGGTGATGGCGAGGAACTTCATGATTGCCGCTGTCGCTGGTTGCCAAAGCGCACCTTCGATGCGCGCACTGCTCTTTATACGCCGATCCTTCGGCGAGAAAGACGCGGCCGCAGAGCGCGGCGGCACGACTTTTCCACCAGCTGTTCAAACGCCTTCTCGAAGCACGTGTCTCGGCGCGACTGTTTTCTCTAAACACTATTTGGCCGCCGTCTCTGTTCGGATCCATTTTTCGTGAAAGCTTAATGTCTTTCTACGAATAGTTCAACCTCAAGTTCGACATTCTTGCACGCTAGAAGTGGCGCGGGAAGAAAATTGTTCTGTTAAGGCTGAGCGACAACGAAGTCCTTACCGTGCGCACCACATAGTGTGTCAGTTCGTAAGCGCTCAAGTATCTCAGAAAATTTTGTTCCCCAAAAGAAAACATCAAACAGCTCTCGTCTCCGGGCGAAGCTCAGATTGACAATTAGCATAGAAACAGAAGGGAATATTAAACACATTTTGTTTACAGGGAATTCTACCAAGTGTCACCTAGCAGCTGTCAGTGCCGAATTGTTTGTTCAACCACGACATTGACTCAAAGCCAAAGCCTAGTTCCTTTGACGTTAACCGTGGCTAGACGTTGTTTGAACAGTGTGTGCACGGGTTAGTACACTCGATTGGCGTCACGGAGTGTGTTGGCCCCACCCACAATGTCGTCACACATGCATCATTCTCGTGCCTGCATGCACGCTTTTGGCCTTCTGGGCTTACGAATTCCATCCTGTACGGTGCGAGGTGCGCAACTCTAAGCCAGAGCCTCGATCACCGCGATGGACTGAAGGTTTAGCACTCTCACCATCTTTAGGGCGAGGCGCGAGCGTGGTCTTCCCTCCCGTGTCGCTACTCCACGCCGGAGTTGCCGCGGCGCCCGGGGTATTGCCGCAGACCGCGACGCGTCCTACGCTACCCTTACCCGTCCTGGGACGTGCCAAGGCGTGCCAAGGCGTGCCACGGCGTGCAGCCCAGCCCTGACCTCGCAGGGCTCCATGGCCAGGCTGGCGGGCGCTGGCGGGCCACGGCGTCCACGCCATGCCGGGCTCCAGGCGTGGCCCGACCGATCGATGCGTCATAGCCGAAGCGTGGCCGGGTTCCCTCTGGTTGCACGGTCCAGGGCCACGCCGCCAGGCCGCCGGGCCGCCGGGCCCTCACGAGGTGCTACCACTGCCCAGGACCGAAGAATCGGACCGCATACGGCGCTACCCCGCGCGCCAGGCCATGCCATTGGTGGCATCCTGGAGGAGTCTCTCGCACACGGGGTATAGAGACACTCGTCCGAATGTCGGAAACGGAGGTGCCTGTTTTACAGGCGTGGCGCGACCGCGTCTTTGCCTCCTACCCCTCCCACTTCCTCCCCTCGGCCTTCCGCACTGCCGCTCTGAAAGCCACGAAGAAAAGCACCGCCCCACCCCGCCCCACCCCACCCCGCCTTGGCTTGGAATAAAAGGGCGACTCGCGCGACCACCTTTGTAATAAATACGTGTTGCTCGAGGCGAGGCGCGAGGCGGCCGCCACCCAGCAGCGCCCTGGCTCAAATTATCCCGCTCCAGCCACCCGCAGGTGTTGTTGATGTTTGCTGCTGGGCGCTGTTACTGGTTAACGGCTGGGCGCTGCGCGCTGATTCCGTCCGAACACTTCGTCGCTGTCTCTGTCGCACGCATGGGGCGTGGGCCGCGGCCGTGCGAGAGAGACGAAGTGGGTGCTCGCGGGCCGCCGCTGTAGCCGGAGTAACGACCATGTTGTCTCGCGGCCGTTTTTGCCTGCTGCCCTGCCTGGCATTATTCTTCCCGGCCTCCTCGGCCTCCTCCGCGCCGCTGGGCCCGCTGGGTCGCGGGCGGGGCGCAGATTCAAACTTACACCTCCCTCTCTCCTCCCTCAAGGCGCCGCCGCGCTGCCGCGATCCATCATCCAGTGTCGCGACAAGCCAAGGGCCGCTCGCAGTAAACGGCCCCCTAATTTGTTGGCCGCTTTGTGCTGACTTTGCATGCCTCGCATCGCACACTTGGCGGCCCGTTTGCCTCCGGTTTGCCTCCGGTTCGGCGTGCCGCACCGGCACTGCAAGCCCCGCGACGCCCCGCGACGACGCAAGAAGAAGGGAACGGCAAGCAGTTTCGGTTTACTTCCTGAGATACGAGAAGCGCGGCAAAGTTTGACAAGTGCGTGGTGTGCGTGCGTGCGTGTGTGTGTGTAAACGCGTGCATGTGTGTGCATGTGCGAGTGTGCGTGCAGGGATTCCGTTTCATCATGCATGATTATCGACCTCCTGGCGGGGGCAGCGCGGCCAACATCTTGAAGGCGCTCGGAGCGTCGTCTGCTAGCCGGCGGCCGCTTTCCCCGCCGTTTTCCGCGTCACTTTGGCTCCGCTGTGTTCCCACCACTCCTCCACTGTTTTTCCGAACCACTTTTCCGCTGTTTTTTCACAGCTTCCCCCCACTTCCCCGGCCGGCCAGGGGCGCTGCCGGCGGGGCAACAAGATGAGGCCCTTTTTGTCCAGGGCGGGCTCTGCTCGCTGTAATAAGCGGTGCGGAAGTGAATAATAACACAGTTCGATGTGCGAGCGGCGAGAGCGAGGCGAGAGCGGGCTGGGTGGCGGAGCGCGCCCGTGTTTTTCTTGTGAGCGCTCCGCTAGCCGCCCTGGAGGTACCCACCCTAATTTTACTCTCTGCTGCACACTCTAGCCGTAATAACGAGTTTCTTTGCTTGTCCCCTCGGACGGACGGGCGGGCGGACGGGCGGGCTCTCCTAGCGGTCGGTGCAGTCAGTCCTCGCCTCGCCCTGAACCCCCTGCCGAGCGATTTTGAGGAGTTCTTTCGCCGCTACACCTTCTCCCTCGGGACGCCCCGTGAGTGCGAGAGCGACGAAGCGAATCATGGGAATAATCGGTCCACTGCCAGGCATTACAATCTCGCGGGCACACCACGACACCCGACCCGACGGCACCGAATTGAGAAGGCGCTGTGCTGTTCAGTGCTCCCAACCCCCACCCCCACCCCCACCCCCACCCTGCCCTGCCCCACTCGGTTTAGCTTCGCCGGCAAATTAATATTTTAGGGGCGCAGGCCATGGCTCTACTATGCGTGGGCGAGAAACCGCAATCCGAGACCCGGACTGGCAGAACAGCGAGCGCGGCGGCGCAGCCGTGTGGCGGGGCGCGGCGAGGCGGGGCGCGGCGGAGCGAACGCGCTCGGAGGCATGGCAGTGTGGGGCGCGGTGGGGCGGGGCGCGGCAAAGAACGGGCTGTGCTGAGTGCATAATCCCAGGCCATCTCTTCTTCGCAGAGGCCCCTACCTCCGGCCCCGCCGCGCTCCCCCACCCCAACTTTTCCCGCGCGTCCCCTACGTCTCCTCAAGAAAAACACCAACAGTCGAGAGTCTCGAGAGTCGAGAGCAAACAGCGAGTGATCGATTCTCGTCCCGGCACGGCACTGCACTGCACGGCACACGAGTCGGGCCCGACTTCCGCCTTAATCGTCCTTTAACTCGCCCGGGCGCGCCCCGCCCCTACATCGTCCCCGGCAGACTGAATCCGCGCGGCGTCTCCGCGTCTCCATCGCACCTTCTCGGGCCGCGCCATGAGTGCGAGAGAGAGAAAGCTACGTTCAGGAGGATGATAGCCCTGCCCGCTCTGCCCGCTCTGCGCGTCGACAGTGTTCTCCCCTCGAGCGTTGTTGGCACAGCGAGAGCGCGGCGGACTGGGCCAGTAGCACTGCCAGCAGCGCTAGCAGGCCTAGCCGAGTCGAGGCGAGTGCATTTCAAATTTGCCGCTTTCTCCGCGCGCTCGGGGCCGCGTCACGGCACTCGCGCGCTCTCACACTCGAAGACTGTCGGCAGGGAGTGACAGGGACAGCGAGCTCGGACGGCTCCCTAAATGAAAGGCGGGAAAGCCAATTGGCGGGAGAAAGGAGAAAGGCCCCGTGAGTCTGGAGAGTGGCAGGCAGCCGGCGGGGCGGGCGGGGCGGGCGGGGCGGGCGGGGCGGGCGGGGCGGGCGGGGCGGGCGGGGCGGGCGGGGCGGGCGGGGCGGGCGGGGCGGGCGGGGCGGCACAACTCGCGGACGGGCAGACGGGCTGGCAGCCTCGACCTTGCCCCCTCCCCCGCCCTCCCGGTGCCCCCGCGGCCCCGCGGACCCCCTGGTGGCCCGGCACCGACCCCACCGTGGAAGCCCGGTGGTGGGGGAGGCTGGGCTGGAGCCAGCAGTAGCGCCCTAGCGCCGCGGCGGCGGGGCGGCAGGGGGTGGTTCCACGCTCGGCGTCGTGGCGCGGCGTGGCGGGGGGTGGGGGCGGCGGTGGGGGTCGGCTGGCCGCTCGGCTCGGCACGGCCTCGGCACTCGGGGCAGCCCTTGCCAGAACCAGGCCAGCTGCGGCGAAGGCCGCGACGAGGGACTCGAAGGGCTGGAAGAGAACGACGGCGCTCCAGCGCGTCCAGCCTGAGCAGCCGGTGCCGCACCGCCCCGTCACGTGGCGCGTCACGGCTCCGCGCGTCACGACCGCGTCACGACCGCGTCACAAGAGTGTCACGCCTCACGGCCGCGCCGGGGTCGACACGTGCCGTGTCACGTTCGCGTCGTTCGTGACGGTGCCGCGTGGGTGGTGTGACAGAGGGTGACGTCGCGGAGGTGCAGGAGGACGTCGTGGGGGGCAGCCGCCGGAACAGCGAGCGCTGCGACGCGTTGCGACGCGCCACTGCAGGTGAGTGGATCGGCAAACACGCAGGCGTGCGAGAGAGACAGAGCGGCGCAGCATCGCCCGCGGCCCATCACACTGTCAATACCCTTCACGTCGCTGCGCTTTGCAGTTTCCCCTTCCGGCCTTCGGGCCCTGCCGCCCTGCCGGTGTTTGACGCGCGGAGAGCGCTCCGATCGCTCTGGGGATCAAGTCCCTCCACACGAGGCCGTGATGCTACGAGGCCGTGATGCCACACAATCAGGCCGGATAAGTAGATCTTTGGACGCAACGCGATCAACGGCGACGTGCGAAGACCCCTGCGGTGCTGCTGCAGAGCCCCGCGCTGCTATGCAGCCCGCCGGCACGGCTGCACCCGGGACTGCCTACCCGCCAGGCGCTCCGTGGGAGCCTCCAAGCACGTCCCCGTCATCG